TGCCTGACAAATGTTAACCCACATGGGAATCCTGACATGGCGCCACAGGCGGATACATTCTTCCGGGATAATCAGCTTCCAGCATACGGCGAAATCGACTCCATCCGGTCCGTTGTCTGCAGTTTCTCCTCCGCAGCTGGACGGCCGTGTGCCGCGTGTCTGGCCCTCAACAGAAATCACCAATTGAAGCGTTCAGCCGACGCTGCTTCACTGCGAGTCGCTGCGACACAGCTAGTCGCGACAGACCCACGTGTCATTGTCCCCTTCCGTTCTGCCGAGGGACTTGAGCGTGTGGGACATGTTGAGCTCAAGGCGGTCACATCCGCGGGCAGATCGAATAGCGCTGGACAGGGAGATTAAGCGGCGGACATCCCTTTTCCAGGCTGATAGAGTGAGGCTACAGGCATACGCTCGGTCCGACTGCTCGAAACATCACAACAACGAGGTATGATGCAGTGTCGGCATGCGTGAGTAGTGTAGGCTGGCGTGCGCGTACACATGCCTTGACTTGTTAACCATCGGACATCGATTGACATTCAGGACTCGTTGACGGCACAATTCAACAGTTGCTGCGGGGTATCATCCGGGGTCTCAGCGTCAAAGGACAACAACGCCAGCCGGAGGAGGTAGCTTTTTACATTGCCCCTTGCAGTGACGTGGGTGTCCGTGCTCCAACCTGTCATTGACCAAATGCACATTGGCTGGCGCCTAAGGTACGCGGGCCTGCTGTGGGGTACATTAAAAGCCAGGAGCATGGCCATGCGTTCACGGGCGAATGACTGGTACCAAATAGGATCAGCAATGTCGACGCTGTAACACATGCTGCAGGCGCCAGCTCATCAACCCCCGGAAGATGATGATGATCGGGCCATACCTCATCAGCTTCCCTGCACTGCGCGCGCTGAGCAAGCGCATGCCCCATGTCAACATCTCGTCCCAGGATCTCAACTACAAGGACAAACAGAACCAGCGCGCCACTCTCAAGTAGGCTCTATCCAACCTGGAATTAGGTACAGACTGGTTTGTGGCTGACTTACCGCCATTCACTGACAGACAGGTTGGCCGACCTCGACATGGATCCCTCAACTGGAAGCGTCAAGGCAGTCAGTGTGCTGCGTGACGCACTGGAGACAGGTTCACACAGTCCGGTTGGCGGTGATGGTCCTATCGTTGACGGCTCGTATTATGCTACCTTCCTCTATGTGACGTTCATGCATTATTTAGTAGCTGGCGGCTGAAAAGGCCTCTCGAGATGCTGGTGGTCGTGCTATGTGTGTACCAGCTTACTGTGCTTACTGTGTACCAGCTACTACAGCTACTTTGTGCCGGGCCACACTACTGCAGGGCAGGCGCGTGTGCTTACATTTCTTTGTCTGCGTGAATGATTGGATGTATGAATGAATGGACGAATGANAGGTGTGGTTAACATGCCCTGGTTTGGTTCGGTTCGGGTGGTGGTATCTTTTTGAACACATGTAGTCTGGTCGAGTGCCGGGGGCCCTTAGCAGGACTGAAGCACAGTTCAAGACGAGGCGTGTGGATATGTCTGCTTG